TCTTCCGACGTAGAAAATCTCGCCCGGGAGAGACCCAGAAAACTTATGTGTATATACATATATATGTGTATATATACATGTGTCTATATATATATGTGTATATATATATATGGCGGGTTCTCGTTTGTTCTGTTACCGGCCTCGTGACCCCCACATCCCCCCGGCACCGGGGGCGACCCCAGCAAGGCCATCCTGACCTGACCACAAACTGAGGATGTAGCTTACGGCGCTGGTTCTCAAAAAACAAGCTTTCGCGTGAGACATCCTCAGAAAAATGAGATGTTGCAGATCGGGCGTCGGATATCCAACATGGTGTGGAGAAGCGTTTCGCTTGAGACAGCCTCGCAACAAGGCGTTGTTGGAAGAGTTGCCTTACGACGCGAATTCTCAAACATGAAGCGTTCGCCTGAGACATCCTCAGAAAATTGAGATGTCGGAGATCGGGCGTCGGATATCAGGCATGGCGTGGAGGAGCGTTTCGCTTGAGACATCCTCGCAACAAGGCGTTGTTGGAAGAGTTGTCTTCTAACGTTGATGCTCAGGAATGAAGCGTTCGCCTGCGACATCCTCAGAAAGATTAGATGTTGGAGATCGGGCGTCGGATATCCAACATGGCGTGGAGGAGCGTTTCGCCTGAGACATCCTCAGAAGATGGGGATGTTGGAGGAGTTGTCTTACGGCGCTGCTTCTCAAACAGAAAACTTTCGCCTGCGACATCCTCAGAAACATGAGATGTTGGAGATTGGGCGTCGGATACCCACCATGGTGTGGAGGAGCGCATCGCCTGAGGCATCCTCACAATATGGGGATGTTGGCGGAGTTGTTGCACGACCTCGATCCTCAAAAAGAAAACTTTCGCCGGAGAAGTCATCGGAAAATTGAGATGCTGGAGATTGGGCGTCGGTTATCCGACATGGTCTGGACAAGCGTTTCGCCTAAAACATCCTGACAAAATGGGGATGTTGTAGGAGCTCGCTTACGACGTTGATCCTCAGAACGAAAGCTTTCGCCTGAGACATCCTCGGAGAAATGAGATGTCGGAGATCGGGCGCCGGATATCCATCATGGTGTGGAGGAGCGTTTCGCCTGAGACATCCTCACAATAAAGAGGATGTTAGGGGATTTGTCTTACGGCGCTGGTTCTTCAAATTAAAGCTTTCGCCTGAAACATCCTCAAAAAATGAAATGTTGCAGATCGGGCGTCGGATATCCATTATGACGTGGAGGAGCGCATCGCCTGAGACATCCTCCCAATATGGCGGATTCCCGTTTGTCCTGTCAGCAGCCTCTCGGTCCCCGGCTTCACCCATCACAGGGTGCGACCCCAGCAACACCTTCCACACTGCCACTGTCAAACGGAAAGACCTTACAATGACATCAACAGGAAATTGTCGCCTGAGACATCCTCAGAAAAATGAACATGTTGGAGATCGGGCGTCGGACATTCAAGATGGCGTGGAGGAGCGTTTCGTTGCAGACATCCTCACACAATGGCGTTGTTGGAAGCATTATCTTACGACGCGAATGCTCAAGCATGAGGCTTTCTCCTGAGCCATCCGCAGAACAATGAAGATGTTGGAGATCGGGCGTCGGATATCCAACATGGTATGGAGGAGCATTTCGCTTGAGACATCCTCACAAAGTGCCGTTGTTGAAAGAATTGTCGTACGAAGCGAGTTTTCAAACTTGAGGCTCTCGCCTGCGACATCCTCAGAAAAATGAGATGTTGGAGATCGGGCGTCGGATATCACACATGGTGTGGAGGAGCGTTTCGCTTGAGACAGCCTCGCAAAATGGCGTTGTTGGAAGAGTTGTCTTACGACGCGAATTTTCAAACATGAAGCGCTCGCCTGAGGCATCCTCAGAAAATTGTGATGTTGGAGATCGGGCGTCGGACATCAGACATGGCGTGGAGGAGCGGTTCGCTTGAGAAATCCTCGCAACAAGGCATTGTTGGAAAGGTGGTCTTACGACACGAATTCTCAAACGTGAGGCTCTCGCCTGAGCCATCCGCAGAACAATGAAGATGTTGAGAGATCGGGCGTCGGGTATCCAGAATGGCGTGGGGATGCGTTACGCTTGACACATCCTCACAAAGTAAAGATGTTGGAGGAGTCGTTTTACAGCGTTGGTTCTCAAAATTGAAGCTACCGCCAGAGACATCTTCAGGAAATCGAGATGTTGGAGATCGGGCGTCGGGTATCCAGCATGGCGTAGAGGAACGTCTCGCCTGAGACATCCTCACAATATCTGGATATTGGAAGAGTTGTCTTACGACCCGAATTCTCAAATTGAAGCTTTCGCCTGATACACCCTCAGAGGTTGGAGGCCGGTCTTCGGATATTCAGCATTGCGTGTGTGGGGGGGGAGGGGCGTTTCGCCTGAGACATCCTCACACAATGGGAATGGTGGAAGAGTTGATTTACGTCATTGGTTCACCTAGTAGTGAAGCTCTCGCTTGACACATCCCCAGGAAAACGATATGTTGTAGATCGGGCGTTGCTAGAAGACTTGTCTTACGACCCGAATTCTCAAAATGAAGCTTTCGCCTTGGACATCCTCAGAAACGTGAAAATGTTGGAGATCGGGCGTCCGACATCCAACACAGCGTGGGAGGGCGTTTCGCCTGAGACATCCTCACAAAGTGGCGATGTTGGACAAGTTGTTGTAGGACGCTTTGTTCTGAAAAAAAGAAGCGCTCGCCTTAGACATCATCAGGAAATGAAAAAGATATCCAACATGGTGTGGAGGAGCGTTTCGCCTGAGACGCCATCGCACGATTGGGGTGCTGGCGGAGTTGTGTTACGACGTTGGTCCTCAGAAACACTTACCCGTTCGCTTAAGATGTATTTAGGAAGTTGAGATGTTGAGCGTGGGCATTGGATATCAAACTCGGTGTGGCTGGACGTTTCGCTGCGGACATCCTCAGAAACATGTTCAGTAAGCTCCCGAACTCGACGCGCCTTCAAGAGCTGGGCTCTCGTCCGAGACATCCTCAGTGAGGATGTCTCGGACAAGAGCCCATGTGTGAGGATTCCTCACAAATGGAAGCGTCACCAGAGAAGTCTGACAGCAGATTACTTGACATGAACTCCTTACTAGGTTCGTGGGCCCCTCAAACTTTCAGCATCTTGACGCACATGCCTCGCAGTGCGGTGCCCGCCTACTGTGAGCCATGACGCGGGGCAATGGGGAGGCCAGGCGCCCTCCGCACATGTCAATCGCACATGCCAGACACTCTCACCAAGAAGCTTGTCGCGGGGGGGCGCAACCAGGGGCCCTCCAGAAGGGCCCCCGTGGGCCATGGGGTTCACCGAACGATTTCGGGCCAAAACCCTCCCCGGCACCTCCCCGGCACCGGCGTCAGGGTTGCCCCTCACGGCACCCCGGGCGACCCCGGCACCCGGGCGACCCCGGCACCCGGGAGCCCCCCTGGGCGACCCCGGCACCCAGGTTTCCCCTGGCACCCTCCCCCTTGGGAGCGCTGGTTCTCAAACTGCTCCTGCCCTCGCCATTCCTCCCTGTCCCGTGCCCTTCCTCCTTCTCCTCCTCCTCCTGCGCCCCTCCCTCCTCCACTTCCCCCTTCCTCCTCTCCCTCTGACGCCTCCCCCCGCCATCCCATTGTGCAAAAATATCCTGGCGAGATGATATATTGTGAATGCCGTCGTTGTGAGCATCGCCCTCGGTAAGCTCCCTGTGGAGCCACGAGCCGTGTGAGCGGTGTGCCGTAATGGAGGCGGCGGTGCCATGCGGACCCTGCCACTGGGGCCTTCGGCGGCGCTCCCGATGGGGCCACGAGCCGTGTGAGCGGTGTGCCAAAATGGAGGCGGCGGTGCCATGCGAACCCTGCCACTGGGGCCATCGGCGGAGCTCCTTCTGGGGCCACGAACCGTGTGACGGGTGTGCCGACATGGAAGCGGCGGTGCCATGCGAACCCTGCCATCGAGGCCATCGGGGAAGCTCCCTATGGTCCCTATGGGGCCACGAACCGTGTCAGGGGTGTGCCGAAATTTAAGCGGCGGTGCTATGTGAACCCTGCCACTGGGGCTTTCGGCGGAGCTCCCTATGGGCCCGCGAAACATTTGAGGGGTGTGCCGAAATAAGCATGCGGAAGCAGCGGCCACTTCAGGTCACGGCATCTCCGAGCCGAGAGATCCGACGACGTGTCAAGCGAAATGGGCTGGACCACCTCTCGTGTAGCGTCTGGGAGCCCAGAATTGCGAGGATGTCTCAGGAGGAGCGGGCCGGACTATCGCAGATCTGGTCTCCTCAAAACGCAAACTTGTGACGATCTATCATGCGAAACGGGCTGGACCACCTCAGCATTTGGATCATATCTCGACGCGCGGGCCTCTCGGGCGGCACTCGTTCTTACCATACCAACGCCCCCCGGCACCGGCTGGGCGACCCGGGGACGCTCCACAACAAATCCTTTATGCCACCAACAAACGAGAACCTCCCATATTATGTACATGTATATACAGAGAACCATGTTGATACAAAACGCCCAAATAACTTTATACAGGACCAGTTGCCCTAAGAGAAACGCCCCCGATCTAAATTTGTCCGCCGGCGGGGCCAGGGGGGGCGACGGAGGCGGGCGCGGGAGCCCTCGGCTGGGCCAGCGGCGCTGCCGCGCGAGGGACAGCGCCGCCGTCGCCTCAAACTGCGAGCCGCGGCCGTGGCACGCGCCGCCCTGGGAATGCCGGCGCGGACGCGGCCGCGTCGAGCGGGCCCAGGACGTCGCCGCACGCGCGGGGCCCCCCTGCGGCAGCTGGCAATGGTCTCGCCGACAGGGCGCCTACACTTTCGCCCATTCGCCGTAAATGCAAAACGCTGACATGTAAAATCCACAGTTGCGGGGACTGGGGTCGGTTCCCCACTGTTCACGACAACGAAAATCGATGCACAACAAAACCAAGGCCCACACCAAGCACACACCAGGTGATCCGTGCTCGTGTCATCGTGTGCTCCCCGCTCAAGACCCCGCGCGGCGGCGCCCCTCCGCGTGCTGGTGGCCAGCATCGTCGGCCGCAGCTCCCCCGGCCAGGTGAGCCCCGCCCTGCGGGACTGCGCCGCGGGGCGCGCCCCCTCGTGCAGCGCCTCGCGGGCGGAGGGGGGAAACGGGGGCGCGGCCCCTCGTCGCCGCTGCTCCGCTGGGGTGCTGGGCGACGGCGGAGTTGGCGGCCTGTACTCCTCCTCCTCCTCCTCCTCCTCCTCCTCCTCCTCCTCCTCCTCCTCCTCCTCCTCCTCCTCCTCCTCCTCCTCCTCCTCCGTCTCCTCCTCCTCCTCCTCCTGATCATGATTCTGCTCCGCCTCCTCGTGTCCCTTCTCCTTTCCTGGTCCTCCTCCTCCTCCTCCTCCTCCGCCTCCTCCTCCTCCTCCTCCGCCTCCGTCTCCTCGGCCTCGTCCTCCTCCTCCTTCTCCTCCTTGCGTCCGCAGCCGAGTTGGCTCGAGCATGCAAGGTTCACGGGGGACAGCATGGGCACCGCTGATCCGCGGCTTGGGACCGGGTCTTCTCGCGCAGGGCCCCATGCGCAAGCAGGGCCGACGCCTGCCTCCTGCACTCGCCCGCAGAGGAGCAGATTCGCCCGCTGGAGACCAGCAGCAGGCTGCGCGGCCAGCGGGCTTCCATTGGTCAGGGTGTGGTCCACCGACGGAGCACTCCCACGTGAGCAGCGAGCAAAACAGGGGTCTTACGCGAGATGGAACGTCGACCTGACGCGGTGGCTTGCGCGGGCCGCCCGCGCGGCGCGTCACGTTGGAAACGAGGGCACTTACGCGCGACCTGACGCGGGCAGCTTACGCTCCAATGGCGGCGCAGACGACCCCATTTTTTTGAGTCGCTCATGTGGGGTTGACAGCCGCGTGGGCTCACGTCATAAACTGGGCGTACAAACTGCCACGTCGCTGCGGGGCGAAGGAGCCGGGCGCCAGCAGTCTCGTTCGATGGTGCCGGCGATGGCTCGCCGTCTCGTGGTTCTAGGCGCTCCCATGGGGATCGCCTGCGGAAGGATCCAAGCGGGAGGCCAAGCTCGAGAAGCAACTGGATGGCCCCGCCGGCCGCTACAGTGCGGCACGACGGAGCGGCCGGCGCCGGGAAAAGCGGCAAGAGCACCCGCTCCAAGGTCAGGGTACGGCGTACGGAGCTGCATGCACCCATCAGAGCGCGGGAGGCAAAGGACACGATGTAAGACGAAGCCAGGACGAGGATCAATTCTGGCGAAGGGTAGATCGAGAATCTCTGAGATCTGGCCGCTCTGGAGGATGCGTCGGGCGCCGCGGCCCTCCCAAAGCGATCTGGCACGCTCTGAGAGCGTGCTGTAACTGAAGGGAAACTGGGACACACAAACAAATACACACAAATAAAAAGATTCCCCATATTTTCATATATTTTCTGGGTTTTTGTCTTCCCCACCACTTCCCATATTTTCCCATATTTTCCTGGGGATCGACGATTAATTGTGTCTGTGTGTTTTTTCCCGTCCTGAGTAACGCGCTGGAACAGATGCATCCTCGTCCTAGCCCCGTCCAGTTATGGCGGCGACGCGCAACGAAGTTCGCAATCAGATCAAAGTCAGGTCGGGCATGTCCTCCTCCGGGTGGAGCTTGGAGGAAAACTCCCAAATAGCCAATGCACAAGTAACCAAACATGGTCGGAAAATCGTCCCCGGACTATTCTTTTACTATGCTTGTGACTTCCTCCTGTAGAGGAACATGCCCGACTTGAGGTGCAAGCGTAGAGGGCGAGCATCGCGCGGCGCACGGACGCCGGGCGCGGGCGACGGCGCAGCTTACCCAAAAAGACCGAGGACTGCACCGCGGAGGAGCGGCACGGCGCGCGAGGACAGCCGCACGGTCCGGGAAGGAGCCGAGCGGGCAGCGGCGCAGGAGGCCGCACGGGATCGAGCCGGCCGAGCTGCAGGGGGCACTTGTCGGGTCGCTCCCTGCAGGACGTACATACACACCTACATACATGCATACACACATACATACATACATTCATACATACATACAGACAGACAGACAGATAGGCAGACAGACAGACAGACACATGCAAATACACATAAACATACACACATACATGCATGCATACATACTACCCAAATACACACCTACATACATACATACATACATACATACATACATACATACATACATACATGCATGCATGCATGCATGCATGCATGCAGACAGACAGACAGACAGACAGACAGACAGACAGACAGACAGACAGACAGACAGACACATGCAATTACACATAAACATACACACATACATGCACGCATACATAATACCCAAATACACACCTACATACCTACATACATACATACATGTATACATACATACATACATACATGCATGCATACGTACATACATACTTACATACATACATGCATACACACATACAAACAGTCATTCATACATACGTTCACATACATACATACATACGTACGTACGTGCATACACACCTACATACATACATGCATACATACATAAATACATACGTACATACATACATACATACAGACAGACAGACAGACAGACATGCATGCATGCATACATACATACACATACATACACACATACATACATGCATATATACATACATACATGCATACACACATACACACGTACATCGGACCAATCGAACCATCCGTACAAACTAGATACGTGCATACGTACATACACAAGTACGCACATACGCACATACATGCATACGCACATACGTATATATGTGCGTACGTACATACACACATACGTACATACATACATACATACATACATACATACATACATACATGCATGCATGCATGCATGCGTGCATGCATGAATACATACGTACATACGTACAGACATACATGCATACAGAAGTCACGCCGGATCGAACCCGCCGAGCTGCAGGGGCCACTTGTCGAGTCGCTACCTGCAGTCGAAAAAGAAAAGACGCCAACAAAAATAAACTTCTGGCGCTCCGCGCGCACTTCTTGGATCTGCGCTGGGGCCCCGTCCTGGGCGCGCGGAGCGCGCCAGGGACGCCGCCGGAGGTGCCGCCAAGGGGCCCAGCACGGATCCAAGAAATCCGCGCGGAGCGCCAACAGTTCATGTTTATGGCTTTTTGTCTTCTTCGACTGCAGAGGACAAGCAACGCCCGGGGACGAGCCGGCGAAGGAGGTCGGGATGGGCGTACCCGGCAGGCTCTTGGGGGGAGAGGATGCCATCAAGCAGGTGCTCGAGTCCGCGCAGTACAAGTAGCTTGCCGACGTCAAGGCCAGGGCGGCAGCGAGCCGCAGGAGTGGGGGGCGTGTCGCCGATGGTGAGCACGAGCCCGTGCCCGAGGACATAGACTTGAACGATGCCCATCGCGCCAACCGACGTGCAGCGGTGGGCCACTGCACAAGAGCGGTACACCACCACTGCATATGTCACAAAGATCGCTCCAGATGGTCCCACGAAGTGCAGGAGCCCCGCACACTTACATGTAGAACATGTAAACATGAGGCTCAAACACTTTCGGAGCTTCAGCAGCAAATCAGGGGCCACCTCGCAGGGCCAGACCAGATCCGGGAGCCCAGAGGCGAAGCAATACACAATACCCACCGCACTACCTCCCGCCATGGGAGACCAGGGCCTGATCTGGCGGATCGAGGGAAAGCGAGGAGCAGGAGGACCAGACCAAGAGCAGCAGTCCGAGGAACCAACGCGGCGAACTCGGGACAGGGCAAGGGCAGCAGCGGCAGCAACCCCCCTGGAGGAGGAGGAGGAGGAGGAGGAGGAGGAGGAGGAGGAGGAGGAGGAGGAGGAGGAGGAGGAGGAGGAGGAGGAGGAGGAGGAGGAGGAGGCGGCGGAATGACAGCGGAGCACAGAGACGCGATGCAAGCCCCCCAGAAGCTAGCCCTCCAGAACAGTGCGGCGATCAGGGAATTGGACAACAACGCAGGCGACGTCTGGCTGGTCTGCCTCGCAAACGACGCCGTCCAGTCCAGCCTCGCGACGGGGCGAGAGTACGGGCGCGTGGCAAAAGAGCACGGCGAGGGCCACAAACTAGGACCACCGCATGGACACGTAGCAGCAAGTTTCGTGGAAGGCCTGATCGAGAAGATGACCAACGAAGCAGCCTCCCTACCAGAACACATGAAGCCAGTCCTGGCCACGCTGCAGGAGTTCACGACGACGGTGAGCGGCGCGTGGGGGATGAACGTCGTGACAGAAATCTTCAAGCAGTTCAAAGTGCAGCCGCCCTATCAGAGCGAGGAGGCGATGGACGACAGCGATCGGATGGCGAGAGTTACGTTCGTCATCAAGTTCAGCCCGTGCTTCAGAGCGGCTCTCCACAAAGAGAAAGTCGACGAGGGCCAGATCCAGGCGCTGCTAGGACTTCAGGCGGCGATGTTCAAGCAGGCGATCAACGCGGCCATAGCCCACCAGGGCGGGACGAAGAGCGTATCGGGGGGGGGGGCAAGACGGGGCTCGGGAGAGCCATCGAGCGCCAGCTCAACAAGAAGCGTTGAGACTGGACCACCCAGAGGCACCAGAGGCCCCAGCCCTACGTCGCAGCCCGCCAGAGCCCCCAGCTGCTGCAGGCCCCGCGATGTCCAACAGTGTCAGCCCTGCTCGCTGGCCACCAGCTGTACGGCCAGAGACGAGAGAGAAAACAATAGCAATGGAAATTAGTCAAAATCTAATGCGGTTCCAGGACCTGAAGAACAGAGCATAACAACACGGTGGGTGCATGGGCAACCTAGTGCACATCGCCAGCTACTACAGGGAGATGCGCACTAGGGACTACTATGCAGCGATGCAGTAACCACCGGGGGGGCACTACTACACTCCCCCCACACCCCTACTATTGGACGAGAGCCACCTCTCACCCTTCCTCCCGACCCACCCCTACATTGTCACGGCAGAGGCTCCTACAGACACCAAATGCCCCCCAGAGGCCCATGGGACAAGTAATACAAACAAGGACGACGTTAGTATGTACGGCCATATATGGTGGACTGTGATAATGATTGTGCAATGCGAGTACTACACGATGGCAGACAGTCAAACTAAGGGACCTACGACAACAGAAAGTACTGCGCCAACTGAGGTCACTAAGGTAACTACGACCACGGTTACCACTACGGTCCCTGCACGTAGCTCTTTCGGTTCCAGCGTCACAGAGCCGACCCAGCACGGCGACGCGGAGAGTCACCTCCAACAGCGATGGGCAGCCCGACGGGCCGCCGACAGATGGAAGGCGCGGACACCGTCGGCGCCGAGGAGGGCGAGAACCAGCAGTTCCAACAGCAGGGCAGCAGCAGCCACCTCCTCCACCAATTCTTGCGCAGCGCCCTCAGTACCGCGGAGGACAGGGCGAGCAGGTAGTCGGCAGCATGGAGTATCGCCTCAACATCGCGCATTCCAGTATGCAAGCCACCAGCAAGACCTCCAAGCAGTGCAGCGACCCCATCCAGGCGACGATAACCGTGCTCCAGCGTCAGCAGGAGAGGCTCACCACCAGCCTTGGACGGCTGAAGTGCTCTCGCAGCGAGAACGTGTGCGAGGAGATGGAGCGGGTCCAAGGCATCGAGATCATGACGCACCAACTGCAGAAGATCGAATACACGATCCAGGCCGCCACGGAATTGAAGGGTTGCGTGGAAGATACTTCGAAACTCATGAAAGGACCATTCCCATGGGAAACGGACTACGGCCGCAAGCAGAACGACGAGCTCGAAGGCTGCTATACGAAGTGGTCGAAGAGCAAGCACGGGTTCGGGTACGACATCCCAGACGAGAAGCAGCACACCGTCCCGCAGACGCCAACGGGAGGCACCCACCAGAGGCGTGCAGAGTGCCACGAGCCGTCGTCCTCAGTGCAGGGGTGGAAGACACACTGCGTGCTGATGGAAGCGCCGACCACCAACAGGGTGAGCGGCGACGCCAGGCTCACGAGCGAGGAAGTGGCCACCAAGGCGGGTTGGGGGCTCGGCGTTACAGAGCTAGAGTGAGCGGCGTGTACACAGAGGTAGCAGCCAGCTCCTCGAAAATCGCTTCTCGAAGCACTGCTTAGCCTTTCACAGCTGCAGCCAGTGCGGCGCAGCACTCACATATTCAAGCAGCAGCAGAGAGATCGAGGCAGAGAGAGAGAGAGAGCGGGCTCAATCATCAAGTACCAGGCCGCCTCTCCCCCCTTCCTTGTTTACTTGCCTCGTTGCAGCCGAGCAGCCTTCGCTCACCTCATTTCTCAGCTGCGGCCAGTGAGAAGAGCAGCTCCAACACAGCAGCAGCAGAGAGATCGAGAGAAAGAGAGAACGGGCTCGGTCGACCACAAATACCAGGCCGCCTCTTCCCCCCTTCCGTTACGTGCCTCGTCGCAGTCGAGCTAGCCGTCGCTCATCTACTTCTCCCAGCTGCGGCCAGTGAGGTGCAGCACAGCACTCACTCACAGCAGCAGAGATCGAGAGAGAGAGAGAGCGGGCCCGATCGTCAGGACCTGGCCGCCTCATCCCCCCGTCCTTTACTTGCCTCGACGCAGCCGAGCCAGCCATCGCTCACCTCCTTTTTCCCAGCCGCAGCCAGAGAGGTGCAGCACTCACAGCAGCAGCAGAGAGATCGAGAAAGAGAGAGCGGGCTCGATCGTCAGGACCTGGCCGCCTCTTCCCCACCCTGTTTCCCTACTTGCCTCGTTGCTGCGAGCTTGGCCCGCGCATCTCCTTTTCCCAGCTGCGGCCAGTGAGGTGCAGCACAGCACTCACACACAGCAGCAGCAGAGAGATAGAGAGAAAGAGAGAGCGGGCTCGATCGTCAGGACCAGGCCGCCTCTTCCCCCCTTTTATTCTCTACTTGCCTCGTCGCATCAGGGTCAGCGGAGCGAAGATCCAGGCTCACGAACGAGACAATCGCCCCTATGGACGGCTGAGGGCTCGGTGCCTCAGAGCGAGAGTAGACGGCAGAGATCGCAGCAAGCCCCGTGACAATCGTTTCTCGATGCCCCGTCGACCCAGCCGCGCAGTAGGCATACAGCAGCAGCGGCAGAGAGATCGAGGAGCGCAGCGGGAGAGAGAGAGAGAGAGAGAGAGAGAGAGAGCTGGCGCGATCGTCCAGTACCAGGCCGCCTCCTTTGTTTTTGCCTGGCAGCAGGGGAGGGGTGTGAGGAGTGGCGAGGGGGGGGGGGGGGAGAGTGGGGGGAGAGGCCCTCAGAGCCAGCTGCCCGCCCCGCGTGGCAGCAGTTGGCCCCTGCATTTCTAGCCAAGTAACCGAGGGTGCGGGGGCCCCTGCGACGGGGCAGCGAGGCGAAGGGCCCGCAGGGCCCGCACTAGCAGCCCTAGCCTCGCCCGCCCCAGGCAGTTCCCCGGGCCAACTAGGTTGGTAGAGGGGTTGCTTCCATTATCGCTCCCAGGGGTCAAAGTGCTCAGAGTTATGGACAGCACGACCCCGACGGCCTTATCCTTATCCTTATCCTTATCCTTATCCTTATCCTCCTCCTCCCCCCACCCTCACCAAAGACCTCCTCCTTCTCGTTCTCCTTCTCCTTCTCCTTCTCCTTCTCCTTATCCTTATCCTTATCCTCATCCTTATCCTCATCCTCCTCCTCCCCCCGCCCTCACCAAAGACCTCGACCCACTCCCCCAGACCGGCTTCTCGTCCCGAGCCGTCTCTTGACGGCCCCAAGGCCCTGTGTGAGGGCCCCCCAGGGGCCGGACGTCGCGAAACACCTCTCTGTCGTGAGGGTCCAGGGGGAAGTCGCGAATCGTGGGGATCGCGGAAAACCTGCGCCGAGGGGGTTGAGGGGGGATCGCCATCCGCAGGGCTCGCGAACCGAACCTTCCTCATGGGCGTCGAGGACAATCCTGAAGTGACTCCTCGTGGCTCGAAGCGGTCCTTGGGGGAGGGAAGGCAGCCGTGTCGCAGGCCCGGGGGTGAGGGGCAACGATAGATCGGCGATAGGGCCCCGACAGTGAGTCCGCACCTTCCTGGGCAGGTTAGGGCTATCGGGCCCCTATCGGCGAACAGTGGGCGATTGGGGGTCGATGCATCCCCCCCTGTGCTCATCCCCCCCCTCTCGTTGCCCCTGGAGGGGGGAGGGGCCGCGGCGCGGGCGGCCGAGCGCCTCGACGATGGGCGTGAGGGCGGCCAGCAGCTCCTTCGCGGCGCCCGCCGCGG